ACTCCAACTCAAAAAAAAAAAAAAAAAATCAGCTCTAAATGGATCAAAGACCTAAACGTAAAACCTCAAACTATAAGAATCCTAGAAGAAAACTTAGAAAACACTCATGCCCATTGGAGGAGGCAACCAATAAATGATCAAATTCCCAAAAGCGAGTGCCATAAAAGCTTACATAGACAAGAGGGACCTCATCAAACTGAACATCTTTTGCACAGCAAAAGAAACCATCAAGAGAGTGGGGAGACAACCCACAGAATGGGAAACGAAATTTGCTAATTATGTATCTGACAAAGGCCTAACATGCAGGATCTACAAGGAATCTAGGCAAACAAATTGCAAGGAAAAAAACAAACAACCCTATCACTAATCATCAGAGAAATGCAAATCAAAGCTGACTAATTCCAGTAAGGATGGCCATCATTATTAACAAATCAAAAAACAACACATGCTGGCAAGGGTGTGGAGAAAAGCGAACACTTCTACACTGTTGGTAGAAGTACAGGCTAGTTCAACCTCTATAGAAAGCAGTGTGGCGATTCCCAAAAGAACTAAAAATTGACCTTCCATATGATCCAGCAATACCTCTCCTGGGAATATACTTGGAGGAACATAAATTGTTCTATTGAAAAGACATCTGCACAGGCATGTTTATGGCTGTGTTATTCACAACAGCAAAAATATGGAACCAACCCTACTGCCTATTAAAAGTGGACTGGATTTTTAAAAATGTGGTACATATATAAGATAGAGTATTATGTAGCCATAGAGAACAAAATCATGGATTTCATAGCAAATTGGATGGAATTGGAGACCATCATATTGAGTGATCTATAACAGAAAGAAAGAACTGAATATCTGAGACCTGAACATTCATCACATTAGCACAAGGGAGGGATTGGCAGTCGCTGGACAATGCCGGGAGGAAGAAGGGATGTTTCAACACAAAAGGATATCTGGTCCTAAACCAGTGGAAGTGAGGACCATTTGGAGGCCTAAACCTCACCTGCATGCAGCTTACTTGTGTGTCTGGCTAATCCTGATTTGTACACCACATCTCTATAATAAAATTAAAATATTTAAAATAAAAAGAAATCGCTTCAAGATTGGGTTACAAGTACAGTTGGTTCTATTTTCTACTTACAGTCCCTAAAAGACACCATCCTGACGACCCAAAAACCCTGCTTACCTATAGTCAGAGGGTTTTGATACCTCAGCAAAACTGAGTTATTAATCGCACATGGGATAATACAGTTCCAAGCAGATCTTATGCCTTAATATAACCCTTAAACAACGAGTGTGAATAAAAACAACAGCCTAGGCGCCATCTTACTGGAGTCGCCGCGCTGACGTAGCTCTGCAGCTTGCTCCTCATCTCTTTCTCATTAAATCTGGCACTTCGCTTCACATAGATGCCTCCATGCTGCCACATAAATAAGTGCGGAGAAAGAAGAATTTACTCTTAAAATAACCAATGGCTGGTTATCACAACAGCAACTGTACTTCCAAAAGTAAGAATAAAACTACATTTCAGAATTTAAACTATACTTAATCCATTCAAAAATTGGCTTCTAAAGAACACTTAGTTGAAAATTCTCCTTTTAACACACTTCAAATAAAACTGCATGCTATATTATACTGGAAAATATATCAACATTTAGTTGAGTTAAAATAAAAATGCTTTATTTCTTAAAAAATATTTTTTAAAATAAAAAACTTGATCAATCAGATGGAGCTTAACTCTCAGTTTTTCTACTCACTTATTACAAAATCACTAAAAAATAACTTAAAATGTCAATACAATCTTTAGGGACTTAATGAAATCAACCCAATAATAAATATTTCTGTGGCACTCTGTTTTTTGAGTCGGAGTCTTACTCTGTCACCAGGCTGGAGTGTAATAACACGCTCACGGCCACCGCAGCTTCAGCCTACTAGGCTCAGGTGGTCCTTCCACCTCAGTCTCCAATTAGCTGGAACCACAGGCATGTGCCATCATGGCTGACTAGTTTTTTTATTATAGAGACAGAGTCTTGCCATGTTGCTTAGACTGGTCTTGAACCCCTGAGCTCAGGCAATCCTCTCGCCTCTGCCTCCCAAAGTGCTGGGATTACAGGCTTGAGCCACCAAGCCTGGTGCTCTTTGGCACCCTTATGGACAGAATTACCTCCACCACCCCCCATCAGCATACTGGAAGCCCTAACTCCCACTGTGAATGTATTTGGAGAGAGGGACTTTAAGGTGGTAATTAAAGCTAAAAGAAGGTCGTAAGGGTGGGGTCCTGATCCAGTGTGACTGGTGTCCTTCTAAAAAGAAGAGATGCCAAGAATACACATGCACCGGAAAAGACCACATTAGGACACAGGGAGATGGCTACTGTCTGCAAACCAAGGAGAGGGGCCTTGGGAGAAACCAGCCCTGCCAACACCTTGATTTTGGACTTCAGGCCTGCAAAACTGGAGAAATAAGTTTCCTCATGCTAAGCACTTTATATATCCAGCTTATCACTTTTTCCCTGTTACACAGATCACTATTTTTACCATTAGTTTCTTAAGGTAGTTGGCTCTTGAATTCCATGACTTTAAGTTTCCTATTTGTTTGACTTTTATATATTTGCATTCTTGCTCTTTCATTTAACTACAGTTGGCCCTCTGTATCAAAAATACTTGAAAAAATAACAATATAGCAATAAAAATAATACAAATAAAGAAACAATACAATATAGTAAGTATGTGCATGTTATTTACATTATGTTAAGTATAATAAGTAGTCTAGATGATTTAAATAGTGCGTAGGGCCAGGCACAGTGGTTCACACCTGTAGTTCCAGCACCTTGTAAAGCCAAGGTGGAAGAACTTGTTGAAGCCAAAAGTCCAAGACCAGCCTAGGTAACATAGCAAGACCTCCATCACAACAAAAAAAAAAAAAAAAAATGAAAAATTAGCTGGGTGAGGTAGATGCGCCTGTTGTCCCAGCTACTTGGGAAGCTAAGGCAGGAGGATCACTTGAGTCCAGGAGTTTGAGGCTGCAGTGAGTCAAGATTGTGCCACTGAACTCCAGCCTCAGTGACAAAGTAAGACCCTGTCTCTAGAAAAAAAAAATGTAATGCATAGGTTATAACAAGTCCATTTTATATAAGGGACTTGAGAATCCATGGATTTTGGTAACCAGAGGGGTCCCTGAATCCAAAACCCCACAGATACTGAGGGATACCTATACATAGATAATCAGAAATGTATACAAATTCACACCATTCAAAATACCAAACAAAATTAGTTCAACTTAGAATAAACTATTAGACATAGTTTTTAAATCATGCATTTGAATTAAGTAAATACTAAATCTTATAATACTAAATATAAAATTTTTATAAACTACACACATATATAAAGAGAAAAGTATGGAAACAAGTTACCTGAGAAAAATAACACCCATACAATGGAAGCCATTTTAGCTGATCTTTCAGCACATAGCGCACATGTCCAAGTGCATTCTGCCTGACAGCCAACATGTCAGCAACAATCCAGTCAACTGCAAAGACAGACCCAGTGAGTGCACATATGACTGTCGAAGAGAGTGTTCCCTTCATAGAATAAGAGAATGTCTCTTCACAGTGACTGTCAAGTGATTACAATGTTTAAAATTACTTTAAATCAATCCCAGATATTTTAAAATATGAATTCTGTGTTTTCCGAGCCTTTTTTTCTTGTATTACTTGAAAGGCTTTTTATTTCAAGGATAAAACACAAATCACAAAACACCTACACAATCCAACAGCAGTATATACGTGGAATACAATGAGTTTTTCTAATTCCTAAAGTCTAGAAAACATATAGGTGATAGCTGGGCATAGTGGCTCATGTCTGCAATCCCAGCACTTTGGGAGGCTGAGGCGGGAGGATTGCCTGAACCCACGGGTTCAGGACCAGCCTGGGCAACATGGTGAGACCTCGTCTCCACAATAAATCAAAAAATTAGCTGGTCGTGTTGGCGCACGCCCATGGTTCCAATTACTTGGAAGACTGAGGTGGAAGGATTGCCTGAGCCCAGCAAGTCAAGGCTGCAGTGGCCATAAGCATGCCACTGCACTCCAGCCAGGGTGACAGAGTGAGACTCCTACTCAAAATTTTTAAAAAAAGAAAAATATAAAAATGTCTTCATTTTAATAAAAATAGGAAAATATAAAGATATTCTGTGTATATGTGTGAGTGTATATATACATACACACATACACACACACACACACACACACACCCCATATATATGTGTTCAGCAAAGGCAAGTACACTTTACTAACGAGTTTTTAGGACGTAGTTCTAGGCTATGATAGCATTCAAGCAAAAGTCTAACATGCCTTTCAACTGTGCTAGGTAGATGTAGACATATGAGTTTCTTACATAACCAAGGAACCTGGTCCCAGGCTGCTAAAAACTGTAATTATATAGACATTGCATAGAGTGTCCTTGATATAATTAATTCCATGTTAGAAGACTCTATCTTTCATTGTAAAAGGCATCTTGCCAACCCTTCTGTAGTTCATAAGCATGATGACTAGGTGTTCATACGCATGTGTGAGATGTACCACCCTCAAACCTTGCTATGACATTGGCACATTACCTGTCAGACAATGAAAAAAAAAAAAAAGGCATCATGCTAGCAGGGATCAGATGTTTTACCTAATCAATACAGACTACATCCAACCAGATAAGGATATAACCAAGCATATTCTTCCGCTATCAGTCCTCACCAGAGAACTCTGTGGCCATAAAAAGAGCAAGACTCCAACAGCTCGAAAAGGCCGTCTGAACAGACACCATATTGCTGACACTGTGATAAGCACCTAACATCTGCCTCCAAAGGTTCTGCCCACACCAAGACTCTTCCTTGCAAGACAGTTTAAGAACCACCCAAGGCCAGCCATGGTGGCTCATGCCTGTAAACCCCACACTTTGGGAGGCCAGGACAGGATTGCTTGAGCTCAGGAGTTCAAGACAATCTTAGGCAACACAGTAAAAATCAGAAAATTAGCAGGGCATGACGTGCCTGTAATCCCAGCTACTTGGGAAGTGGAGGTGGAAGATCACCTGAGTCCAGGAGGTTGAGGCTATGGTCATGCCATTGTACTCCAGTCTAGGCAACAAGAGAGATCCCAACACCCAAAAACAAACAAACAAACAAACAAAAACAACAGCCCAGCCCAGCAGCCCAGGACATTCTTTTTGTTCATACTGCTCTCCGTGGACTGGTTTATTAACCCTTTTCCTATCCCTTTTCTCTTGATGTTAAATGTTACTGTGTTTAAGTGGAATGTTTAATCTGTACATTTACATATTGATTAATATACTACTATGCCTGGTTTGTAATACTGACATGTGGAGTGGTGTGAGCCTGTGTGCCCATGGCTCTGACGACAGAGGGAGCGGGTGGTCCTAAGGAGAAGTGCCTCCTTGAGAACTCCATGTAGCTCGTGGTTCTTATGTTTGAAATAGCATCAGTAAACGTCTGGCATTATGGAATGATACAAATGTGCGTGGACCTGGCTATCTATGACCTTGTGCCACTCACAACAGATGTTATAAACAAAAGGTTGCAAAGACAAGGCTAAGAAGGGATGAGTGAAGTGATAACAAGAGCAACAAAAAACTTCCTAAAAGTAAGTTTTTAGTGGAACTTTCAAACAGAAGAAACCCTGAATGAGAGCGGACCTTGCCAAAGCAAAGAAACAAGAAGCAGCGAACTGGGTGCGGAGGATGGGAAACAGGTGATGGTCCAAGGAGAAAATAAAGTGAAGAGGACAAATGACAAAGGTCTCGAGAAGCAGAGAAACAGATATGAAAGTAAATGGTTACAAGCTGCCCTATTTCTTGATAAGAAAATATAAAAATGAAATGTGAGGGAGACTTTCCTAGTTAATCTGCAGATGGACTCAAGGATGGGATACTTGAAAACTGTTTTAAGAATCTGTGAAAAGAATATAGTCCTGGCATCACCCACATGTTCAGGTCACAAAAATGAGAATAAATGGAGTGAATGGGGGGGTGTCAAAAAAATCTGTAGGAAATAAAAGCTGAAGATTTAAAGAAATTACAATAAATTTTTACCCAAAGGGGCCAGTTTTCCACAAATTACAGGATTAGCTCTCAGCATATGAAATCCTTTAGACAACGCACCACACTAGACAGAGCATCCATTTAAAGAGATATTACAGAGCTAACCATTTAAACACTACATATTGACCTAGAAAAATATTCTATTGTTATATGTTTCTTTTTAATCCAGGCTTGCTATTCAGGCAAGTTAACTTTTCCCTGCCAACTTGAGACTGACAATTATTGCGCATGCAAGTTTGGCTATGGCTCCCTGTCAGCTGCATGCTGCCTGCAAGGATCTGCCCCTGCACGTATGACCTTGTCAGCCATATTCGCCAGTCTGAGATGCCTATACTACTGTCAATGATCACTTTTCCCGAAAGTATGTGACCTCGTATTGAAGACTTCTCCCTAGTATTTTCTAATGTAGATCAAATAAATAACTGATAAACACATTTCTTTCAAATCACATTTTTTTCAAATCATGTTTTGGAAACCATATAATCAAGCTCATTATAACTGTACCTAGCGCAAAAGTAGATCAACTGAATATATTCTGAGAACTAATTCTGTGTAGTTCTACAGAAACCTACTTCAGATACAAAGGTAAAAATCAGATTTAGCATCTTTCCCTGCTAAAGTTCCTATTTAAAGTTTGGGAGAATAAAAAGAAATATTTATAGTTTAAAACAAACACAGTTATATTATGGCCTCAGATACACCTTCCAAGAACTTTTAAGAGAAAGTGTAAGATTTCCAAAACGCATCATGTTCCTAATAAACTGCCCTGATCTATGTCCTTAAACTTGAATATTTTAGTGGAAGCATTTAAGAAGTAACTCAAGCAGTCACAGCTTGACTGAGCAGGTACAAGGCTCAAGAAGTAACACAAGCTCTGTGCCATCAATACTTCTGCTGAATTATCTCTTTTGCTTTTGTGGTTTATTCTCAGCTAGATTTCAGACAGGTGACACTGGATTATGGTTGAGACATCATGTGTAGTCTAAAGAGACACTGCACATGCAGTTCTTCCTCACTTTGGATCCCGGCCCACGCTAATGGTCAGCTATGATTATATCACCATGATGTTAAATGCCACTGTGAGCCAGGTGTTCTACCAACATTATGAGACAGCTTATGTAAACTGCCTAAAACTCTGATCAGTAGATATTACTCACATCTTACCAATTAGGAAGGCACTGAGAGGTTAAGTAATGTGCCCGTGACATCAGGGTTTCTCTGACTCCAAAGCCCATGCCTTTTTACGACACTCTACCTTACCATACAAGCTATTAGTCAAGAAAACTGACATCTAAACCGAGAAAAGGGAACACTTCATGAGATTATAAAGGTCAATAGTGCCAAAGCAGACAGCCAGAGAAGGATGAAGGGAAGGAATAATAGCCACTATACCCTTGCTGACTGGAGACAAATTGGTTAACAGACTAAGAGTGTACAGACAACAGGGATACGTCAGAAGAAAACAAAGGAGAGAGACTAATTTAAATGTCAATTCTTTTGAATGTCAAGCCAGGAAACTCATTTATTCTGGCAGGCCTAGCAGAGGGCGAACTAGAAAGTCTAAGCAGAACAGCAGTCCTTGAAATGTTCTTTCTGCTAATTACATCTGCAGATACTCTGCTGTAACTGAACATCACAAGAGTTTTTAAAGGGCACCCAAACACAACAGGCCAGTGAACCAGGTCTACCGCTAGGCTTTGGGGGCCTCTGGAGCCCCAAACTATACATAAGTCTTTATATGTACATTTTTCTGGGAAAAGGCTCCATCATAGGCTGACTAAAGCCTGCAATTCTAAAGTAATTTAAAATCACTCTCCCAGTGTTTTCCAAAGTTATAAATTTTTAAAAGGCATTCAAAAAGAATCCCTCTCAAATCCTATTCAAATCCATCTCAAATCCTACTGGTATCAGGACCCGGTGCTAGAGCAGTGCTAGAGCAGTGCTAGAATGTGGGAGGTACTTAGAGGCAGAGTGATGAGAAAGGGAAGTGATTCTCTAAACTGTGAAATGAAACTTTTCCATGTCAGTGTGAACTGACTATGAAGATAATATCTTCTACTCCCAAATACAAGTATAAGAGTTGTTTTTAATACACTGTTTTCAAAAATGTTTTCCCAAAAGTCCTCCATCTGAATGAATATATGTAAAGACCAACACATAATAAGCATACAAGTAACAGCAGTAGTTGTTATTTTTCATTATTTCTACTACCACCACCTTCAGGAATGTTCAGAGAGTACTTATTGCACATGTCAGTGCTAGGACCACAGCTCTCTTAATAGAGAAGTGATCACACTGAAACCTGAAAAAAAGGAAAGTTGGCAGGGAAACTAAACAGGGAATTTTAGGACAAGTCTGTAAATCAGAAAGACAACTCTACATGAAATTAACCAGTGAGTCAATATAAAAGAAATCTGGGGAAGATAAGCCACCATGAGCCAGTCCCTGCCCTGAGCCCACAGATCTTTTAATTTAGCAATTTGAACCCTGGTAGAAATACTCCATCAGCAGGCAGGACAGGAAAAACAGAAAACCATGTTAGCAGTAAAAAGGGCAACATGCCTGGATGGGCCAGAGTTATAAGCAGACACTGACTTGGCTTGCTGTTTTGCTATTTTTGCCTAAAGTCAAATGTAATTAGGAAATAGCCTGAGTCAGTCAAGTAATAAAGCCAAGAGAAATATACAGATATAATGGAATTCCTATTAGCCCCTTATAGCTTCAACTCTCACCCTATAATCTGAATGTAATTATTAATACACTAAACTGAGAAAATTGCATTTCAACTTCTTTTACTTTCTAGACCTCACCTATGGTATAGGTAGCAATAAAAGCAACAAAATCTGAAAAAAATCACTGACATAAAGAAAAGTCATGGGCATAAGTGATTTTTCACTAAGAGTATCATCACTGATAAAGTTGTTTTTAGCTTTGAACTTCTAGGTATTTTTGTTGTTGTTGTTGTTGTTGTTTAATCAAAGTCTCACCCTGTTGCCCAGGACGAAGTGCAGTGGCACAATCATGACCACCACAACCTCAATCTGCTGGGCTCCGGTGAGCCTTCCACCTCAGCCTTCCAAGGAGCTGGAATGACAAGCATGCACCACCATGCCCAGCTACGTAACTTTTGGATTTATTGTAGAGATAAGGTCTCGCCAACTTGCACAGGCTAGTCTCAAATCCCTGGGCTCAAGCAATCCTCTCACCTCTGCCTCCCAAAGTGCTGGGTTTACAGGTGTGAGACACTGTGCCACACCTCATATTTTTAAAAGTAATAAAAATGGAATTTAGCAAAAGTATCTATAGGTTTGAAAAAATATGAAGTGGGATTTTTTTTTTTTTTGGACTGAATTATTTGGAGAATTAAAAAGTACCCCCCCCCCTTTCTGGGAATATACCTAGAGAACCTCAAATCACTCTATAAAAAGACACCTGCACACACATGTTTACTGTAGCATTATTCAGAATAGCAAAAACATGAAACCAACCGTGCTGCCCATCAAAAGCGGACTGGATGAAGAAAATGTTGTATATTTACATGACGAAATATTATGCAGTCATAAAGAAAAACAAAATTATGAAATTTGCAGCAACCTGGATGGAATTAGAATCTATAATACTCAGTGATTTATCACAGAAACAAAGATCTGAGTATCACATGTACTCACTCATAAGTGGATCCTGAACATTTATCATAATACTATAAGAAAGGGACTGGCAGTAGTGGAATACTGCAGTAGTGGAATACATTTCACATGTACTCACTCATAAGTGGATCCTGAACATTTATCAAAATACTATAAGAAAGGGACTGGCAGTAGTGGAATACTGCTGGGGGACATAACATCAATAAGGGTACCCACACTTTAACTGTATGATGACCACGTATATACCTAACCCTCATTTGTGCCCCACACTTTTAAAAATAAAATAATGTTTTTTCAAAAAGTACCTCAGCCAATGTCGATTTCCTAATTGATACTGCACTACAACTAAGATTAACATGTCACCCTGGAAGAAATGTTGGTGAAGGGGTCATGGGACTCAATGTACTATTTCTGCAAATTCTTGTGACTCTATAATTACTTAAAAATAAGAAATTTTAAAAAAAGAACCTTAACCTATAGTATATCCTGCAATTTTGGTGACCAGGCTCTGTGATTTCTCTGATGGAGGAACAGTATGCTAGAATTAAACCAAACTCATTTGAAGAAGCAAAAGGAACTGCAGACATTAGAAATTAACAGTGTGTTTAGAAAATAAGTTCTCACATACTGATATGTTATCTGCAGTTTAACAATAAAAAAATGTAAAATGCACATACACTCTCAACCACCAATTCCACTTTGAGAAATATAACTTACAAAATGAAGAATAAGTAGACTATTTAAAGGGCTACTCAAAGAAAGGGAGGAGGGGAAGAAAGTGAAAAAATTGCTTATTTAGACCCATCAGAGGCAGAAGGTAAGTTCAGGAAAATTCACAGCTTTCACATTTCTCACTTTCCAAAAAGTAAAATCACAAAAATACAAGAACAGGTATAATATCTACATAGAAAATTCATGTCTTTTTTTAAAACTACTTCATTTAAATATATAGGAATACTATTTTGAATGCCCATGTGCCATCTGTAGAAAAACCTAAGATTCATGCAGATAAAATACAAACCTGTGCTTTGATGATTTGCTAAATATATTATATTTTCTTTATTTTTTGGCAAATCTCCATATAGCAATATCTAAAAGATAAAACAAAAAGAAACATTACATTGACATTTGAAAACATGTACTACTGTAATATACAAAATACAACAATGTGAACAAACTGACAGACACACGATGTTGTGACTATTTCCACTCATTATTAACAAAAATTAGATCATCCTTAAGTGTCTCAGAGACTATACATAAATAGCTCAGTTTATACCAAAGTATAAGACAGGTAATGGTCATAAAGTAGAACAGGATAATCAATATCCTCATGAGAAGAATACAGACAGCACTTATTGATTGCTAACAATACATAAAACTCTGTTCATAAGATAAATCTTTCTTCAAAGAGCCTACAATCTAGTGGAAGAGACAGATGACATGTACACAGTAACTATAATGAGACAGAAAGCAAATAATATAAAAACACATGACATCTTTTATTTTAAATAACCATAAATGCAAAGCAGAAAAAGGATCCTTAGGTGTAATTTCAGCAGATGAGATGAAGGGAAAATGTTCAGGAAAGTAAGACTGAATGAAAGGTAACATTAGAGGCCTGCTGGCCTACACAGGCCATGTGCTGGCAAGGGAGTTGGTGAACTGGAGCAAGGAGCCAGAATGGAAGTCCTGCGCCAGAAAGAAAGAAGTCTCTTAATTCTGTAAGTCTCTGACACAGAGAGGAGCTGACAAGGGGCGAGGCACAGGAGCTTCAGGACAACCAGTTCCACTTCACGTCTTACCAGGGGGCAGGTACACAGATGCCCACAGTACCTATTTAGGCTTTCTGCTGTTTTGTACATCTACCTATCACACAATAAGTGTTTTAAAGAAACTGGGAGTACACTTTTAAAGACATCATCTCCTTATAAAGAGGAAATGACTGCTAATGGTGGTATTTTTTTCTTCCTGGGCATTTTGTTTCTGTATCTTTTCACTGTGGATTACACAAAGATTATTAACTAACTACAACTTTTAAAGTTATCTTGTACACAGGGATTATTAGTTTTTGGTCACAGTACTACAGTTTACACTCTATATTTATAATCATTTGAAATGAACTTTCAAATGTATGTTTTATATCTTTTTTTTTTGAGTTGGAGTCTCACTCTGTCACCCAAGCTGAAGAGTAGTGGCACGCTCCTGGCCACCACAGCCTCAACTTGCTGGGTTCGAGCGATCCTTCCACCTCAGCCTTCCAAGTAGCTAGAATTACAGGCACATGTCACCATGCCCAGCTGACTTTTTTTTGTTTATTGTAGAGATGAGGTCTTGCCAAGTTGTCCAGGCTGGTCTCAAACCCGCGGGCTAAGGGAATCCTCTCACCTCAGCCTCCCAAAGTGCTGGGATTACAGGTGTGAGCCACTGCGCACACTCAATGCTTTCTATGTTAAAAACGGAAGAAAGAAATGGACATTAACCCAACAACTTTGCAGACAAATACAACTAGATGATATAAAGTTCTGGAGGCCAGGGACTCAAACTGAGGTTTCTATTACCTTCCTTAAAAACCACACAGTGCTATGTATGTAAGGGGCTTAAGTATTTGCCTGATGATTCTTTTTATTCATAAAGTCCATCGATGGCATAAATAATTAAAACCAGTAGGCTGATCTGTTCAAGATTAAAAGTGAGATCCTAGCTCATAAGCAATCCTCATTCTCTTACCAAAGAGCCAAAATTGTGTGAAGACCACCATGACGCGCATGCTGATTTAAAAGATTTGCAGGCCAGCACAGTGGCTCAGGTCTGTAATCCCAGCACTTTGAGAGGCCAAGGCGAGAGGATTGCCTGAGTCCAGGGGTTCGAGACCAGACAGGGCAACTTGGAGAGACCTTGTCTCTACAATAAATCAAAAAATGAGCTGGGCATGGTGGCGCGCACCTGTCGTTCCAGTTACTTGGAAGGCTGAGGTAGAAGGATCACCTGAGCCAAACAGGTTGAGGCTGCGGTGGCCATAAGCGTGCCACTGCACTCCAGATTGGGCGACAGAGTGAGACGCTGACTCAAAAAAAAAAAATTTCACTGTCCTTAAATATAGACGATGCTGCTGAAAGGGTCAGAATATGCCACCCCAAAATATGCCACTTTGGGATAAGGATTATTTTTAGCTGAAAGCAATTAAAAAATAACAGACACAGGAAGAGCTTTCTGCCCTCCTGCTATCTGTCTAAAGGCAGGACATAAATTTCCTATAAAGGGTGACAGGAATTTCCATTTGTCAAAATGCTCCATGTCCCTCTCCAGAAGACCAGAAACTGCTAATGTAAATCTGCATAACAAACCTTGCTAAACAACTCTTACCGACATTTCCTGGTCAGCTTCCCACAAACTACCACCCCTAGGAGCTGAAACTCTCTTTTCCTTTGATTAGTCATTCTTCACAATGTATGGTCCTTTGTTAATAAAATCACATAAATTGCTTCTTTAGCTGGACAGGGTGGTGCATGCTTGTGGTCCCAGATACTCTGGAGGCTGAAAGAGGTCCACTTGAACCCAGGATTTAGATTCCAGCCTGGGCAACATGGTGAGACCCTTATCTCTTTAAAAAATAAAAAACAGCGTAGTGGTGCATGCCTGTAGTTCCAGCTACTTGCAAGGCTGAGGTAGAAGGATCGCCTGAGCTCAGCAGGTGTGTCACTACATTCCAGCCTGGGTGACAGAGTTGAAACTCCAACTCAAAAAAATAAAAAACAAAAAAAACTCTTCTTTGGGTTTTCATTTCTTTTCCAAGGATCCCAAGCAGGTAAAAATATTAACATCAATACAATTTGTTTGCCTTTTCTCTTGTTAATCTGTCTCTTAATTCTCAAACCCTAGCCACTCTAAGAGAGCACAAGAAAAGTTTTTTCTCTCCTACAATGTATCATAATAGTCACTAAAAGCAGAAGCTTCAAAGTACTGGACATGAACTAAGACTTCAATTTGAATACTAGTACATCACCTTACAATGAGAACATAGGCAAAAGCACCAAACTTCTCCACATTTATTTCTTTACCTGTAAAATGAGTATTCCTCATAGAGTTGTAGTGAAATAAATGATACTATGCAACCTACTTCACACAAGGTTTAGAACATAGTGGCCAACCAAATAATGCTAAGCTGTTATTATTATCATCCAAAATAGTGAAATTTTTTTATTCAACACTGTGTCAAGTGATTAACTGATAAGAGAAATGGCTGTTTAGTCTACCTTCCCAACAAAAAGTATTTCACAGAAATGCAACTATAAAGAACTTTGATTTGAGTAAGACTGCATATGCAATTTACATTTTATACTGGGGTGCCAAAAAAGTGTATTTTAAATGTTGTCATCTATGTATTACTTTTAGTTCACCATAACCAGAAGTGTCTGGATGCTAATGGTAACTACTTTGAGGACCTTTTGTAATGGGAGAAGTCAAATGTGACTGTATTGATCTTTTGTTATCAGTATATATTGAATATTACAATTTTAATACAGCTTTTTCCTTTCTTAAAATGTGTGTACATTTTTTTGGCATCCTCCATATTTATAATCATTTGAAGTGAACTTTTAAATATATTTTTATGTTGAAGAAATTGTAAAACATATAAAACTATAGTCTTTTCTTGCCCAGTTTGAAACATTTCATTGAATAGTAAGATTATGCTGCCGGGCACAGCGGCTCACACCTGTGATCCCAGCACTTTGGGGGGCCGAGGTGAGAGGACTGCCTGAGCTCAGGGGTTCAAAACCAGCCTGAGCAACTGAGACCTTGTCTCTATAATAAGTCAAAAAAATTAGCTGGGCATGGTGGTGCATGCTTGTGGTTATAGCCACTTGGAAAGTTGAGGCAGAAGAATCACCTGAGCCCAGCAGGTAGAGGCTGCAGTGGCCATAAGCGTGCCACTGCACTCCAGCCTGGGTGACAGAGTGAGACTCCAACTCAAAATGATTGCCTGAGCCCGTGGGTTCGAGACTAGCCCTGGTAACTTGGCGAGACCTCATCTCTACAATAAATCAAAAAAATTAGTCGGGTGTGGCGCATGCCTATAGTTCTGGCAACTTGGAAGTCTGAGGCAGAAGATCGCTGGAGCCCAGTAGGTCGACGCTGGGGTGGCCATGAGTATGCCACTGCACTCCAGCCTGGGTGACAGTGAGATTCCAACTCAAAAAAAAGTCAATCAATGTGTTGGGAAAAAAAAAAAGATTATAATGCCCTTCTGAAATAAGATCAAAATAGCAAACATAGCTATTTGTCTAATAATCAGAACAGAAAAACAATGATCATGTAATATTTAAATGAAACATAACAGATCATAAAGCTTTTTCATTTTTTTTCTTACTCATTTGATGATATTAGGGATTTAACAAACCTTCTTCATCCATTTTCAAAATAGCTTCACAACTAATCTGTAATGACTAGACATCTGGATCATCATGGCTCTTGCTCTCTCATTGTTCTTACAATGTCTAGTGGATGAACTGCATTCAATGAGACACACAGCTGTTTCCACAGTAATAAGAACACTGGTTTTCTCAATTCTAGTGGCGCAGTGAACAACTGGCTTTTCCTTGTTGGCCCTCTTATTTAGTGCATGACAAACAAAATATAGATTTGAATTATCAGGGATTCCATAGTGAGGCCAGGCTATGTGCTGAATCTGTGTGAGTTGTCAGCTCTCGTTTCTCTCTTGGCAAAATAATATCATCTTCCTGAAGACACAGGCAGTCTCCTTCTTCTGAGTGGCAGATGACTTGGTAGCATCCATAGGATGAACTTCCTATGCGTTCTGACCAATACTGGTAACATTATCTCTGCCACTTTCATCTTATATAGTGAATATTACGATCACGGAGGAGCCTTGTTCCTAAGACAACTGCCAAAAATCTAAGTGTGTGGTAATGGTCCCTGACAAGCAATGTACTGATTTATAATGCTGGAAGAAGGAATTTCCATATACATATGTGTGTGTGTCTGTGTATATGTACACATATATACATAGATAGATGAATGGATGGATGTATAGACAGCACTGATATGGTCTTTATTACTTTTTAAAATG